ACATGTTTTCCATGAGTTGGGAGGTGAGGTTGTTGATAGTGTTGTCATTATAACTGACTTATTTCAAGATAGCGGTCATTGCTCAGATTGTGTTCACGAATACAATTTTGTCGATTCCGATATTGTTACATTTAAGAATTTAATTGCGATAATTTTCTGTTTGTTGACAGACAATGTGTCACAAGGCGCAAGGGTAAAGAAACAAGTGAGAATTGAGAGGCTAGAGTTGAGCTGTGAGAATTGAGAGGCTAGAGTTGAGCTGTGAGAATTGAGAGGCTAGAGTTGAGCTGTGAGAATTGAGAGACTAGAGTTGAGCTGTGAGAATTGAGAGACTAGAGTTGAGCTGTGAGAATTGAGAGGGTAGAGTTGATCTGTGAGAATTGAGAGGCTAGATTTGAGCTGTGAGAATTGAGAGACTAGAGTTGAGCTGTGAGAATTGAGAGACTAGAGTTGAGCTGTGAGAATTTAGAGGGAAGAGTTGAGCTGTGAGAATTGAGAGGCTAGAGTTGAGCTGTGAGAATTGAGAGGGTAGAGTTGAGCTGTGAGAATTGAGAGGCTAGAGTTGAGCTGTGAGAATTGAGAGGCTAGAGTTGAGCTGTGAGAATTGAGAGGCTAGAGTTGAGCTGTGAGAATTGAGAGGCTAGAGTTGAGCTGTGAGAATTGAGAGGCTAGAGTTGAGCTGTGAGAATTGAGAGGCTAGAGTTGAGCTGTGAGAATTGAGAGGCTAGAGTTGAGCTGTGAGAATTGAGAGGCTAGAGTTGAGCTGTGAGAATTGAGAGGGAAGAGTTGAGCTGTGAGAATTGAGAGGGAAGAGTTGAGCTGTGAGAATTGAGAGGCTAGAGTTGAGCTGTGAGAATTGAGAGGCTAGAGTTGAGCTGTGAGAATTGAGAGACTAGAGTTGAGCTGCTGGTAAAATGTGCACGCTTTTTGTCAGGCGACTGACAGGCGTAATAGCCCGCCCTCTTTAAATAGGAATATCGGACTGGACAATTTAGGGATGTTCACATGAGTTCACAGATGTTGACATTTCGTTCTCCTTTAACAGGCTGAGTTAGTTTTGTGGTCGATTTCAATGCGCGTGACAATAGTTTTGTTGTCAATTTATTAATTTTTCCTGTTTTGATAAGAGAATGAAACCTAAATTGTGTTTAGGGAAACTAAAAAAAGTAACTTTCACTTAAATATAAAGAAGTTAAAGTTTAGCGTTGAAGTTTGTCATATTTAGGATATTGTTTTGAAAAGATGCCTACAATTTGCTTTATTATTTCTGTGTAAGTGACATCAATTTTTGAAATTAATGTCAAACGAATAGGGAGAGGAATGTGAAGGACTTCAATGTATATTGTGACTGTGTGTTTCTTAAACTGGTTATGTGTGTTGCTTTATCTATTATTCTTAGCATTTTGTGACGTATTTGGTGGGTAGTAAATGACGTGTTGTTGTTGTGTAGTTTTTATGATGGAGTAATCGCAGTTTAATTGTGTTAATAAATATACTTAATTTTATAAAGCAATGGTTTGTGTAGTTTATATAATTTACCCCTCGACAAAAAATCAGCCATCAACCCTTGGCAGTATCAGGGCGTAACTGAAGGATATGGGATCAGGTTATGTCTTTATCTGCAAGGACATGGGGGCAGGTGAAAGCTTTATCTGCCAGGACATAGGGGCAGGTGAAAGCTTTATCTGCAAGGACATAGGGGCAGGTGAAAGCTTTATCTGCCAGGACATAGGGGCAGGTGAAAGCTTTATCTGCCAGGACATAGGGGCAGGTGAAAGCTTTATCTGCCAGGACATAGGGGCAGGTGAAAGCTTTATCTGCCAGGACATGGGGGCAGGTGAAAGCTTTATCTGCCAGGACATGGGGGCAGGTGAAAGCTTTATCTGCAAGGACATGGGGCAGGTGAAAGCTTTATCTGCCAGGACATGGGGGCAGGTGATAGCTTTATCTGCCAGGACATGGGGGCAGGTGATAGCTTTATCTGCCAGGACATGGGGGCAGGTGATAGCTTTATCTGCCAGGACATGGGGGCAGGTGAAAGCTTTATCTGCCATGACATGGGGCAGGTAATGGCCTTACAGGCAGGGATATAAGACAGGTGATGGCTTTACAGGCAGGGATATGGGTTGGGACAGGAGATAACATTTTCAGCGTGCACCAGTAGGATTATCAAACATTACGCAAGTCGTACAGAATCAGTATACTGTGTTGATTTCAGGTATGATTTTTAGACTCTTAAGCGCAAATAGAATATTATGGAAATAAAGGCGTGTCTGTAGGCGTCAAGACGCAAAGAAAATATATGGAAAATGAAGGCGCAAAGAAAATATATGGAAAATGAAGGCGCAAAGAAAATATATGGAAAATGAAGGCGCAAAGAAAGTATAAACAATACATTTACGGTCGATAATTACCTAATTACTTTTAAATACTTTTTTTGTGTATTTTTATTTAGTTTTCTTGTTGTTTGATGGTTTTAATTAGTTAATTTTGTTCATTGGCATTTAATAGGAGTTCTCTTCTCATGGGATCGTTTTTATCGAACGCATCTCAATGTGTGTGTGCGAGGGTCATTTTGGGTGTATTATTTCTTCTTTTGAAATAATTGACGTATCGTGTGCTGATGTGTATCTACAGAGAGTGGTTCTCATAATTGTGTGTTTACGTGTCTAAACTTTCTTGTGTATTCCTGTTGTATTTTTAAAATTGTTTAAATTAAAGATACTTGAGTGTGTCTCAATCCAGTGTTACTTGACAGCAGTCATAAGAAAGTGTATTTATAATTTTTATTTATTTTGTATATGCTATTCTGGCTCCAAATAAGTTGTATTGCAATATGATAATTTTATTTAAGTTTATCGACTGGTTCTTATTGTGTGGCATCACTAGGCATGAGGGATGTTTTTTACTTTTTTCTTCTTCGGAAATACTTGTCGTGTTTGTTTTAGTATATTGAGTTGTTCTCAAGCTTGGGTTACGAATCACTAGGCATTAAAGCTTGGGTTACGAATCACTAGGCATTAAAGCTTGGGTTACGAATCACTACGCATTAAAGCTTGGGTTACGATTCACTACGCATTAAAGCTTGGGTTACGATTCACTAGGCATTAAAGCTTGGGTTACGAATCACTACGCATTAAAGCTTGGGTTACGATTCACTACGCATTAAAGCTTGGGTTACGATTCACTAGGCATTAAAGCTTGGGTTACGAATCACTAGGCATTAAAGCTTGGGTTACGAATCACTACGCATTAAAGCTTGGGTTACGAATCACTAGGCATTAAAGCTTGGGTTACGAATCACTAGGCATTAAAGCTTGGGTAACGGTTAACCAGACAAAAGGTGTGTTTTTCATTTTTTCTTCTGTTAAAAAGCTTGTCTTGTAGTCCAGCTGTTTTGGACTGCCGGGAATCATTACTACACAGGAATGCTGGGTAAATTCCCGGAACTATCAATCGCACGTAAATGACGGCGGGCTTTTCGTGCATGACTTCGGCCTTTGAAACACGTCTGACAAACGGGGCCTCTGGTCTCACGACGCCAACGCAATATAACGAAAAAAACAACAGCACACAAATAAACGGGGAAAAAACTCGACTAATGACGTAATCAGTGGTGTAGGACTTAACACTGCAGAAATTGGATGGTTTTGAGTTCTGAACTCTACAGAGTGTGCACTGTACAACCATCTATGGTCTAATTTATTGGCCAAAGGAGCAACAGTTAGGCGCCATTCTTTTTAATGGAAATCAGAATGAACATGGTTGTATACCGCTTTTTACCCCCCAACCCCCCATCCATTAAGAGCTAACTTAAGATTTTTGAAGTCACCCCCCCCCCCTTCCTCAAGGCATTTTTAGGCTTTGTGCCCCATAATAAATTTCATAACTTAATTTGTTTTCCACATGAAAAACATCGGCCCAGGGCACTCTGAAGCGGCAGAGGTTGCAGGGCACACATTGCGGTTCAGACCCAGCACATTTTTTTTTATTTTCGCAACACCCTTGTGCGTAACACTGAAATGCCTGCCAACTAACATAAACTTTGAGCAGACCTGCTCCATAATAGCAGGGTGATCCATGAAAGAAAAAATAGAACAAATTGTGTCGTAGTAGTTCTCACATTGGTAATCGGATTAATTGCTTGGCGGAGTTTTAAGAGGGGTCAGAAACGGAAAGCCAACGAAACCAGGCGTCACGGGGAACTGTTAATAATATTGTCTATTCACGTGTTGGTCACGTGTCACCCTCGAGTCAGTCATGTGTCTCGCCCGTGTTTCGCTTGACGTGTCACTCAAGTGTTGCTCTCTTCCACATCACCCAATAGCTATAGTTAAATTTGGCTGCCAGGATAAATCTGGAACAAACACAAAAGTTGACATAAGAACAACCCATAACGAAAATACCGCTTGCTTTAAACAGCATATGTCTGTCTCTCTTTAATCAAGCGAAGACAGCATTTGTCTGCCTCTCTTTAACCAAGCGAACAGAGCATTTGTCTGCCTCTCTTTAATCAAGCGAAGACAGCATTTGTCTGCCTCTCTTTAATCAAGCGAAGACATCATTTGTCTGCCTCTCTTTAATCAAGCGAAGACAGCATTTGTCTGCCTCTCTTTAACTAAGCGAAGACAGCATTTGTCTGCCTCTCTTTAATCAAGGAAAGACAGCATTTGTCTGCCTCTCTTTAATCAAGGAAAGACAGCATTTGTCTGCCTCTCTTTAATCAAGGAAAGACAGCATTTGTCTGCCTCTCTTTAATCAAGCGACGACAGCATTTGTCTGCCTCTCTTTAATCAAGCGAAGACAGCGGGTTCCATAAAGGCACCATTTTTTCGCGTGGCTTTCTCAAATATAATTCATCACTGGATAAAACACACACAATTTAAAAAAAAAATATTATTACAAAAGGATGAAATTAACAATGATTGATAAGACATTGAAATACACTTGACAGTTTAGAACATGTAAATATATGTCTAGCATGCCAAAGAAACAACCTCGATGTTTTTAATAAAATTTATTTTTATTTTTTGTGATGCAAAGTCATAAAACATATGTTATTGTGCAATTTTCGTTTCTTGTTGATGATAATAATTAATTATGTGCAACGACATGTGGAATATGAAATGTACAAGGCTTTGCGATCCACCTGAAGCTTATGGAAGAGTACGATAGCGTGAAGAAAAAAACATTACATAATTAAGAAGTGTTTGAAAAAAAAATATATAATGCTGATGAGTTTCAAACTTATGCGAAATTAAAAAAAAAAAAAATTTAAGCCTTCACAACATAACCTTAAAACAAAAGTGTTTGCTGTTTTCTCTTCATCTTTTCACAACTAAACTATTGGCTTAAAAGTTCTCATAATTTTTTAAAATATTTTTTTATATTTTTTAAATTTTTTGGGGGGTAAAAAAAAAGGAGGGGGGGGGGCGAGGCAATGGGGTTTGTTGTTTTTTCTACTACAATTTATTAAAGAAGTAGACATTTTATGATACTAAACTGAAATAGTGAAAAATTTACGTATCTGTATAACAAAGGTAAGAAATGGTGGGGGTGTCTATTGATTTCGATAATTAGATTTGCTCCTTATAATTTAACTTAAGTGATCTTATGACAAAAAAAAGCATCAATAATCATGACATTCACATTGTACACAAATCACCAATATTTTCTTTCGTAGCGATATTTTTTTTCCAAACCGTCCGAAGCCGGTGTCCGCTATCGAAACAAACCCGGCAACCGTAATGAAGTTTCCCCTCCCCCCGATTTCTACCCGACTCGTCTGCCCAGACCACCGACGCACGTTTCTTTGGACAGCCATTTTGTGATGGTGGACAGAGTGTCGAAGCTGTCTACCGGAACGACGCGGCTGTTGTCCCCGGCGATGTTCTCGAGCTCTTCCTTGCTGATCCTATGGCCCACGCCGATGGCGAACAGGGTGATGCCTTCGCCCTGGGCCCGTTCAGCTTCGTCCTTGGTCACCTCGGGCTCCTGAGAGTTCCCGTCTGTGATGACCACGCTGACCTTGGACACACCTTGCCTGACGCTGGCGTCGTTCAGCTAGAAGAACAAAAAAAAAATATGTTGAATTTGTTACTCAAACTTGCACTAAGTTTAGAATTAATCATACAAGTGGCGTGGGAATAGGCCGGGGGGGGGGGATTTTTTTCTACATATTTAAGGAAAGCATTTTCAATCAACTGCATTTGTTGTAGATTTTCTTGTAATGTGGGGCGGTAAAGGCCTTGACACGCCCGCGCAACACTAGCCCTAGCAACGCCACGGTTGTCATCGATGAATTATGATAATATCAGAGCGACTTATTGAAGTTATCGCTTACCCTTTAATATCAATGCTAAACATTGAATTTGATCCACTAAATTTCCGTTACACGATTGCCGACAACCCAAAATCATTTACGGGACTCACTGGTAGCGAGTAAGCCTTTCGTTTGAAGCTTTTCGTTACACATAATATTAAAGTAGTAAATTACCCATGCAATGCTGTATGGAGTTACCTTATCCGTTTTTAATGCACACAGTTGTTGTATAGACGTCTTGTTTATGTCGTGAATCCCGTGCGAAAACTTTGGCTCACCCCAAGTTTGACAACAAAATGGGTGTGGTTTAATTATAAATTGTTTCCCTTGACTACATGTAAACATGGTCTATAGGTGAACTTTTTAGAACTTAAGAGACAAACCGAGCCAAAGATACAACACGTTTCCGCTATCGTTAAAAAGTCTCTACGATATGACAGACTGTAAGTAGGCCGATCCACATGAGGATCGGGAGGAGCTAGGGAGAGAGACTTCGAGACAAAGAGAGCGACAGAGATTACAATGCAAGTCGAAAGCGAGACCAACCGTCTGATCGTAGAAATTGTACGTACTGTTTACTGTGTATGTGTGTGCACCTTCCAACATTTGAACCGGTACAAGTTCATTGCTGTACTGAATAGCCATGGATTTATTCTTTGTGATTTTGTACTTTTAGGGTTAACTTCATAAATTACTGTCTGTAATTAGCCCTAGTTTAGGTATCGTTCTTTATTGCTGGTATTTAATTAATGGTATCATCCTTTCTTGTGCAATGTTTGTTCCGAGCCATTTAGTCAAATAAAGAGATTAAATTCTCTAAAAATTATAGCGGTTCCTAAAATAATCAAAAACAAAAATTAAACTAATAAATAAATAAATCTGAATTACTGGAATATTTATGTATATCCTTTTTTTTTAACGGTTCGTTGACCAGGCCTGTTAAATCTCAATATCTTTGTAAATATAAATGAACAACGGAATTAGTTTATTTATGATAAATGATCATGCGTGGGCCACCCCCGCCTTACAGAAATGACCTGTCCCTCTCTTGATGACAACCCATCTTCTGCTTTAACTCATCTCATTCCTACCCTCCCCCCACCCCAATCAATGATAGTGACCCTTCCCCCCCCCCTCGTGTTATAAGTGACCTCTATACAGGTACCCCTGACTTTACTGTAAGCACAAGTTTCCGCTCACCTTTTTCTGACCTTTGGTCACTATTCACCCGAGCAGGACACTTGTCGGTACTCACCACCCAACTTTCATTCACTTGGTCGCCACTAAGGCTTTTCCCGCTAACTGGCGCCCACCTCCTAACGTGTTATGTTCATCTACCCATGGTCACATCTCGCCAGTTCTCTACTCACCATTCACGTGGTCAACCATCGCCTGGTCACCACTTACCAAGTCACCACTCACTTGATCAGCACACACCGCTAACCTGGTCACCACTAACCACCCACCTCGTCACAAATGACCTGGTCAACACTCACCTGTTTCTCTCTCATGAACCGAATGGCGGCCCCAGTTGACGTATAATCTGTCGCCCTGTGTGGGACTTGCTCTATGGCGTCAAGCAGAGCACTCTTGTCGGTGTAGCTGGACAGGAAGAATGCGTCCTGGTCGTGGACACCCCTGGATGGTCATAAAACAATATCTTTTACAACCGTGGGATTAATTTACTTTAAAAAAATAATAATACACTAGGTACATTTTTGCTTTATCTATTATCGGAAAAAGTGGGGGCACTTTTAGAAGGGCATAACAAAAAGATCTTTATAATAACACAATAATGTAATTCTTTAAATGAGTCATTTATCATTTCCTCGTTCTTTTTAGATAATTTTATATCGAAAAAAAGCAAATGCGGATAGTTGCCTTTGATTTTTCTCAGGCTTCAGGCAGTTGATGGGCAAGAAATTCGACCAGTCGGTACATTTACATTTCTTTATTTGTTGACTGCACTGTTGTTCTCGGCATGAGACAAAAATCTGAATGAACAACGAACAACTGGTTTTATGGCGACCAACAATGTGGTTTATGCCACAATGGACTTCTGCATTCGATGCAGCTTGCTTCATGTTTCTAAAAGATGGTTTTGTACACCCAGGCCCCAGGTATGCACTTACACTCTTCTCTTCTGAGACCACTTGTTGGGGCGTAGTGCCTATCCTAGCTCTTCCGCCTTTCTGGACAAGAAGCAGCTTTAATGCTCTCCTTCTACCACCCCTCACAACCGCTCCTCCCCCAACCGCTCCCCCCCCCCAAAAAAAAAAAAATTCATGTAAGATTGTCCCCTCATGAAGAAGACATTGCAATTTTCCGCCTTTCTGGACAAGAAGCAGCTTTAATGCCCTCCTTCCACCCCCCCCCCCAACCGCCCCTCCCCCAACCCCCCCCCCCCCCCAAAAAAAAAAAAATTCATGTAAGATTGTCCCCTCATGAAGAAGACATTGCAATAATTTAATGTTCACCAACAATCGGCGTTAATATTTCCGAGTATATAAACCATGAAATAGACTTAAATGATGTTGTTGACAAGAAGTTGTTAAAAAAAACACACGCTTTCATTATAGTAATTTAAATGTCACATGGTGACCGGGGATAGTGTGTCATGGATAGAGGTTTGGAGAGGAAAGAGTGTGTACAAAAGCAAGAGAAATATTCAGTTACTTTAGTGCCGAATGACTGCAATCCTCCCATGAAACGTCTTTCCTATGTATTTAGACGTAGACTTAGACCTAGCTTGTACCAGCTCTTGCCATAGTAATCTTCAAAGAGGTACGTGTGTGTACCGCATGTGAATGTAGCATCTTTAGTGGTAGTTTGTGTGACTGATAGACATGTCGATTGACTTTTAGTTTTAATCTGAGAGTCTGTGGTGAGTAGCTGGATAGGGCTTTGCATATATCACGCAGTTTAGTACATTTCCAAATACATTTCAGGAATGGTGGAACTCTATTGTATGCTAGTATGGTGGAACTCTATTTTATGCTAGTTTAGATGGCCGCGTTGAAAGTGAACGGATGACAAAACTTTGCGCCCACGTTGGTCTAAGAGTGCAATAACGCCCAACATGTACAGAAGATCATGGATGCATCACTTAAGTCAAACGGCTTAGGGCTTAGAGGAACGGTGCCCCAAGACATTGGATTACGACGGGTGGCCTTTTACCCCACCAAGCCATCTAATAACGAGGGGCTGACGGAGGGGGGGGGGGCGTTCCACTCATGGAGGCTTCCCCCCCACCCCCCTACTTATTGAGGGATGTCATTTTCGGCCAACTGCGCATAGTTTGTTTTTTCCCGAGGGAGGGAACGAACATATTGGCCCAACCCAGGCGGCACTAGGACTATCTACGCCCCTCCTTACTGACAAACGGCTCAGACAAACGATCCGTTAAGATGGCTCCAACCTACTCAAACAGAAGATATATATTACAGCGTACCTGCCGTAGGTGACGAGGGAGACCCTGACTGCATTGGGGCTGATGTCGAAGGTGTCTATGTACTCTCGAAGGAAACGCTTAGCCTTGTAGAACTCGTCGATGTGTATGGAGGAGGAGGAGTCGAGAACGATGCCCAGCTCCAGCTCATTGAAGCAGGTGTCACATTCCGGACGGATCTGGGCGAGGGCGAGTATGGACAGCTGTGGCGACCAAGACAGATGGATTAATATCAAAAGTCGTAGCAATTATTCGAATACTGTTAAAAAAACAAAAAAACATCTATAATAATGTTAAATATTATTCGTATGATTCAATTTGAATCGTTGAAACTCTCCCCCAAACACAGAATCACTCGAGGATGCACACTGTTAACAATATTGTAAGAAGCCTGTTCAAAGTCGCCAAAATTTTACAATTATGAAATGCTTATGGGGGGAAAAAATTCACATTGTTTAACCAGGTGTAAATATAATTTAAAACTAAGGGTATTTATCTAGGTGACATAACAAGGTGACATAACAAGCTAATACGACAAATTGACTTCATAAATATACATAAAAAATGATATAACGAAGTGAAATAATAAAGTGACATAGCCAAATGAAAATTTAAAAAAAAATTACATAAATTGACATGATTAAATGACATGACAAAATGTCATATCCAAAGGACATAAAAATTATTCCTCACGTACTTGAACGAGAAAACACAACGTGCAGAGTAATCTCATCTTCGAAAGCGAGTGGTTTTCCTCCAATGCCGAGCTGACAAATAATTCCCTTTACTGGATGTCTGTATGGGCCTCGAGGTTTTTATACTTATTTTGTAGTCATCGCAGTAATTAGTGGCCAATAATTATCCCATTACTCCCTTGATTGCACGTATTGTATGTCGCCCACGAGTGGCGCCCCCACAACAGGGAGTCTCACGATCTGACGTCATTAGAGTTTGAATTTCTATCTTTTTTTTTTTTGGTCAGGCAGATCTCAGAGATAAGCAAGGAAATACAACAACAAAAATACATGACTGTTTTCTGTTTTTTTTTATGTTGTCGTTAGTGTCTGATGTTTGACACATTAGTTTTTGCTGACCAAAAAAAAAAAAAAACAAAAAAAAATTCATTATTTAAAAAAATAAAAAAAAAAAAACAAAACAAAAAAAAAAAAAAAAAAAAAAAAAAAAAAAAAAAAAAAAAAAAAAAAAAAAAAAAAATAACAAAAATACATGGCTGTTTTTTGTTTTTTTTTATGTTGTCGTTAGTGTCTGATGTTTGACACATTAGTTTTTGTTGACCAAAAAAAAAAAAAAAGCTGAAAAATATTCCTTATTTTCATGGTTTACGGGTCAGAATTCATACCAATGTACCAAAATGCTAACATACCAGCACACCCATATCAAAACATATCGAATAGCAACATACCAGGATACAACGTATTAAAATATCAGCATAACAGCATCAAAACATATCGGTATCAAAATGTAAACATACAAACATATTTGAATATCAACATAAAACATATTAAAATATCAAAATACGTATTGAAATATCAACACACCAGCATACAAAAAATTTGAAATATCAACATGCCAACATACAAGCTTATTAAAATATCAACATACCTGCATAAAACCAATTTAAATATCAACATACCAACATACGAATATATTGAAATATCAGCATACCAACATAACAAGGTATCAAACCATCAACTAATCGCCACATCGGCGCATAAAAACAGCACCATACCAGCATATATATCAACATAACAATATACTAAACAGAAAAAACAACAACATACGAACGTTAAAAACACACCAATATATCCACTAATCAGATCATTTACTAACCAACATGTAAATATACCGAAATATCTAGCCATTCATTCATCTACTTCATCATCTCCACTCTGGCACGACACTTCAAACAAATGTTGATCCTGCATGTGGGATAAATATGTTTGGACATTGTAATAAATTCTATACAGCTCTAGATTTATTTTTTTTTTCATTTCTAGACCGTAGTTGCTTAAAGTAGACTCTGTAATAGTTATAGCTAAACTATTCTATGGCGTCCCTAAGGGTGTAATACAAGGGTGCAGGGCCGTGCCGTGGAAAAATAGGTCACTGTGCGAAGCCTGAATATGCCGCCGCGAAATATGTCGAGAACTGACTGCCCAGGCAGAAAAGTAAAAAAAAAAAAGACGATGTTTGAGCTAATTGTGTTAAAGAAGTATATTATCTAATACACTATAATGTTCCCCTTTTTTAAGCCGAATCAGTCCACCGGTTGATGATGGCGCCCAGGGCGATTGCAACCTTCACACGCCCTTGTAAGAGTTATTCATTTAAAAGTACAGGCTAACTCACCATGCTATGTTATTTCATCTATAACAGTCGGAACATATATGGGGAGGGTGATAGATATATCCACAAGGATATGGAGAAGGTGATGGATTTATCTGCAATGAATGGGGACATGTGATGGCCTTATCCGCAAGGATATTAGGGCAGGTAATGGATTTATCCACAAGGATAAAGGGGCAGGTGATGGATCTACCCACAAGGATATGGAGACAAGTCATGAATTTATCCACAAGGATATGGAAGAGGTAATCTCTTTGTCCGCAAGGAATTGGGGACATGTATTGGCTTTATCCGCAAAGATATGGTAGCAGGTGATGGAATTATCCACAAGGATATGGGAGCAGGTGATGGAATTATCCACAAGGATAAGGGGCAGGTGATGGAATTATCGGGGTGCACCTTAAGGATTATTACAAATTACGCAAATTGTTTGGACAGACCATAGATATTCTTAAAGCTCAGTATTTGGATTTCAAACCCGGAGATGGAGTCCCGTATGCGGATATCATTGGTACAATGTAACATTCTGACAACTGCTGCGACGCTATTGGTGCCAAGCTGTATCATCCACATGAGGTTCACTTGGGTTATCCAGCAGCGTGGGGAGAGGCGATTTGCTGTTGGGAACCAGCTTATAATGCTAGAAGAATAATTCAAGGCCTTGGGAATTTCGTCCTGCGAAATCTTCACCATTGTCACATTGTGACGGACGGATGCCAGCCAGCAAAAAAAAAAAATTATTTGCATTTGAGTAGTTAGCCATTGTATTGGAACTCGGCCAAGTTGTATTCATGAATTCACGAGAAACCCATTTAGAGCATGTTTAAGTAAATGCTCCTGTTAAGTTATTCCATTTCACGACCAGTGAATTAATGAAGTCATTTTGATCTTTCAGATTGCTTAGATTTAATCTCTCGAACAGATTTGCTTTCATCTCTCAGACTGCTTTCGTTTGATCTATCAGACTGATTAGATTTGAGCTTTCAGTCTGCTTAGATTTGATAACTACGTCAGCTGAGATTTCATCTCTCAGACGGCTTAGATTTGACCTCTCAAACTAAATTCCTTTGATCTTTCAGACTGCTTAGATTTGACCTTTCAAACCACTTTCCTTTGATCCCTCAGACATCTTTGATTTGATCCGTAACCCATTATTTAACGCCTGCTTATAGCTTAATTCCAAAGACCAAGAGATTTTAACACAAAGAGAGAAAAATTCGTATGATAAGATTTTTCTTGATGAAAATAGCAGCGTGCTTCTCACGGTCGTAGTCGATAGGGAGTGTGTCTAGACCCGTTCTTTGTACTGAAGGTTCTGGGCAAGTTGTTGAGAAGAAGTATTTGTTGTTTTGTTGTTTTTTTTAAAATAATTTCTCATGGTTTAAGTAAAGCACGTAGTTATGACCCCTGAATTTAAAAAAAATTAAAAAGTGGCGGGAATTTTTGTTTACGTTTGGTTTTTTGGAAAAAAGAAGAAAAACAACGGTAAGGGGAGGGGGGGCGCATGTGTTGTTATCCAAGACTTTAAAGCGACATCCTCTTTGGTGGCGTAACATGGGAGGGGGCTGCATGTGTTGTTATCCCAGACTTTAAAGCGACATCCTCTTGGTGGCGTAACATGGGAGGGGGCTGCATGTGTTGTTATCCAAGACTTTAAAGCGACATCCTCTTTGGTGGCGTAACATGGGAGGGGGCTGCATGTATTGTTATCCAAGACTTTAAAGCGACATCCTCTTGGTGGCGTAATATGGGAGGGGGCTGCATGTTGAAGATGGTCCCGAGATTGAACACTCTGGATCAGCGAAACCAAAACAGATTTAAATTTAAATACGCCCCTTATGAGTTGACAGAAGGTAAAGATCATTTCCCAACACCAACACTAAAAAAAATACCTGTGGCCCCTGTCATCTTGCGAGATTGCGAGACACATTCTCAAGTGAATGTGTATTGTAGCCTTTTGGTATGCACGCTTGTGTTAAATATAGAAGAATAAATTCTAGTATTACTGTGTTTATATGGCACTATCAATGTTCTTAAACCAATTTAATGTATCACTGTTACTTGATATACACTGACTTATAAAAGAGGCGATCGTATCATCTATCATACAGAAGGGAGGCCTCAAAAAAAATATTGGTTCGCCTGGAGTCAACGACTCTCATCACTACTGCGTTGTCGATATACTCAATAAAAAAAAATTTTGGCATGACATCAAAACTAATGTTCGTATTCTCAGAATCTACTAGAGGCACGTTGCCAAAGTTCCATGGTGGCACATGTTTTCATGTTTTTTAAAAAATTCTATTGCCTGGCGGTGTCACCACGCTGAACATTACCCCCCCCCCCCCCCCCCTTTTTCGCTTTTTTTTTATAAAGTGTGATACTCACTACATACGTTGGTGTCATGAAAAAAAACAAAAACAAAAGTATCACGACATACTCTCAGCTGCACAAAAAGCCACTCCAAAGTCAGTTGCCCATCAGCCCGCTACTAATGTTTCGCTTTCCATGTTTCTTAAAGTTGTGTATATGGAAATTGTACCAGATGGCCGGGGGGGGGGGGGGGCGACAGGTCAAAGGTCAAGCTGCCGCGGAAACATTACCCCACAGGAATGCTGGTTAATTTTCGGGAATGATTAAACGCACGCAGATGAAGGGCGTGCTTTTCATGTAACACCCTCGCCCTTTTCAAACACGTCAGACTAACGACTCCAACACATTCAGGCGGGCCGTTTAAAAACAACAACAACAACAACAACAAAAAAAAAAAGACATCAAAATCTGAATTAACGGGGAACAGAAATACTCCGATGAATGACGTAACCGGTGGTGAAACACTAAACGTGGCAGAACCGTTGACGATTGTGATTTCTCAACTCTACCAAGTGTATGCTGCTCAACAATCTAAGGTCTGTTGTGTTTGCAAAAGTGAGCAAAAGTTATGCGCTTTTTTTAAAAAAATGGAAAACAGAATGAACATGGTGTACACCCCCAACACCTCCACCCATTAAGAGCCGACGACAGATTTATGAAGCCGCCGCCCCCCCCCCCAAGCCATTTTCCGTACCCCAATAAATTAAGTTCATAATTTAATTTGTTCTTCAACGTGAACATTTTGTAATATAAAATATGCAGGGCACCCTGAATTGGAAAGGTCTACAGTGCCCATGTTGTGGCTCTGACCTACCCCCAACCCCAACTTTTTCTTTTTCGCAACACCCCTGGGTGTAACGCTAGCGTACCTGCCAACTAACATCCACTTTGAGTAGCCCTGTTCCGTAATAGAATGGCGGACCGAGAGGAAAAAGTCTAATAAATTATGTTGCAGTATTTAACAACATCGGTATTCTGATTGAGGGCGTAGCTCGGTATTCTGACTGAGGGCGTAGCTCGGTAATCTGACTGAGGGCGTAGCTCAGTATT